AAGTTTAATAAGTTTTCTGTTTATTAAATAGTGTAAAAAGATGATATAGCATTCCAAAGCGATTGAAGTGCTTCGCTTGGGTTCAAAACCTTTTGCATACACAATTTTTTTTTTAAATCTTATCCTGTTTTCTAGAAAACAAAGAAAAACAAGTTTAAATGCATATAGATGTTATACGCATTACATAAAAATAAAGATATAATATACTATAACAAACCAAACGGAGAGAATTTTTTAAAACGTTTTTTAAAATTTCTAAAAACATAAAAACGCTGTACTTGATTCACGAGTGAATAAAACGATGATTTATTTTAGCCGCTTTTAATTGAAATCAACCAAGATATGCTGCCCTCCCCTAACCCCGTGAATCAAGCACACCACCCTAAAATTTAACTAAAGTTAAAAAATATATAAATTAATTTTTAGAACTTTAAGAGGGTGGACCCAAAACTCAGTTTTTGTTTATTCCGCTATTTTGATTGATGTTTTTGTAAAGCAGTAAACCTTAAAAACACATAGAAGCTTTAAGGTGTTTAAGCTATAATTTTATAAAACGTGTTTAAGCTAAAATAGACTTTTAAGTCTTTTAACTACTAAACTTTCACGTAAAATGAAACTTTTTGTCATTTACTGAATGTGTTAAATTATAAAACTGTGCAACAGTTTTATAATTTAAGACAAATCTTATATGTTTAATTGAAAAAGTGAATATTTTAAAAATTAATTATGTCTATATATATATTAGATGTTCAAGAGATCAGAGCCGAAGAGCTCTTGCCAAGTAAGCTAACTTTGTATGAGAAGGATATGTTACAAAGATATATATTTCACCAATTTCAGCAATTTGTTAATTATAACTTTTTTTTAATGTTTAGCGGAAGTAATGGACAAGCTAAGTCAGGAATTTTTTTGTTGTTGTTGTTTTTTTTTTTTTGTGTGCAAATATAGTTATGCTTTTTTAGTTTTTTTAAAGTTATTTAGCAACTGACTTTTGTCAGTTGTGACAGTTTGTCAGTCAGCAAGTGACTTTTGTAACTTTCAAATTTATTTTATTTAGAAAAATTAGAAGATTCAGTTGAGAATCTATGTAAGCAATTTGTTATTGTTGTTGTCATGCTTTTTATTTTTTTTATTACATATTTATTTAACATAAAGTTATTCTATATATGGCAAGTTAGTTTATTTTAATGTTTATAAGTTTTTCATTTTATTTAGAAAAAGTAGAACATTCAATGGGTAAACAGAATTTGATTATATTTCATTTGTGTATTATAGATAAAGATATAGCATTTTACTTTCAAAAAAAAAAGGTCTACTCTTTGGTCTTTTAGCTTTTTTGATACAATTTTTAGCATTTTTTTCATAGGGCTTATACTTCAACAGCTAAGTAAATTACTATAATGTTCTTATTTATTTTAATTTTTTCTTTTTTTTTTGGAACTTTTTTCTTTTTTTTTTTTTTGGTTTGTTTTGCTTCGTATATTATATGTATATTATAATATTCTGCATGTTAGTTTCTTTCTTAATGTTAATGAGTTTTTTTTTATTCTATTTAGAAAAATTAGAAAATTCAATTGGTAAGCAAAGTTCACTTATGTTTCATTTTGTTTAATTTTATTACACTTTTTTTGATGTTTGTGTGCGGTTTTATCACTTAAAATAAACTGTTTAATTGATTAGTATATGTTAGTTTATGTAAATATATTTTTTACATCCACTATAGCGTCATCTGCAGTACCATCTGGTAATGTGTTTTGCATTCTTATGCAGTTTTAAGAGTGTTATGTGTGTTAAAACTTAAAGATAGCATATCTTAATTTACAGATTACTTTATTTTTTTTTTTTGTCTCTACATTAACACCTCAAGCAATAATATCAGGTAATCTGTTTAGCATACTTATGCAGTTTTATGGGTTTTATGTGTATTAAAACTTAAATTTTTTTTTTTCATGTTTTCATGCAATTACATAAATGTTTAACACATGTTACTTTATACACTTTTTTTTTTACTTTTACAATAGCATCAATATCATCTGCAGTGCCATCAGGTAATGTGTTTTGCATACTTATGCAGTTTTATGAGTGTTATGTGTATTAAAACTTAAACATTACTTTTTTCATGTTTGTTATCAATTACATAAATGTACAACATATGTTACTTTATACATTTTTTTTTTACCTTTACAATAGCATCAATATCATCTGCAGTACCATCAGGTATTATGTTTTGCATACTTATGCAGTTTTATGAGTGTTATGTGTATTAAAACTTAAAGATTGCATATCTTATTTTGCACATCACTTTATTTTTTTTTGTCTCTACATTAACACCTCAAGCAATAATATCAGGTAATCTGTTTAGCATACTTATGCAGTTTTATGGGTTTTATGTGTAATAAAACTTCAACATTACTTTTTTCATGTTTGTTATCAATTACATAAATGTATAACATATGTTACTTTATACACTTTTTTTTTTTACTTTCACAATAGCATCAATATCATCTGCAGTACCATCAGGTAATATGTTTTGCATACTTATGCAGTTTTATGAGTGTTATGTGTATTGGAACTTAAACAATACTTTTTTCGTGTTTGTATGCAATTACATAACTGTTTAATATGTGTTTGTTTATATACTTTTTTATTTATTTCCGTAATAGCAACAGTATCAACTGCAGTACCACCAGGTAATGTGTTTTCCATACTTATGCAGTTTTTCCATACTTATGCAGTGTTATGTGTATTGAAACCTAAACATTACTTTTTTCATGTTTGTATGCAATTACATAACTGTTTAATATATGTGTTAGTTCATATTTTTTATTTATTTCTATAATAGCAACAATATCTGCAGGACCATCAGGTAATCTGTTTTGCATGCTTATGCAGTTTTATGGGTGTTATGTGTATTTGTGTAGGTATATATGAAATTTAATTTATCCTTATTTTTACATTACTTTTTTTTTTATTTTTTTTTGTCATAACTGTTTTTTTTTAAAGTCTAAATAGTTTTAAATAATATTTTTATTGGTTGTTTTGTGCAGTATTGTATTCAAATTTATTTCTTTTTTTGTTTTTGTTTTTTAGCAGCGCATCAAGATTTCCTGCGATATTGCTCCCAGCACCCAGGTCCGATATCTCAAAGAGCTTTCTACCGGTGGTGTCAATATAGGGGAGATGATCCCTCCTTTAGATGGAGGAGACAAGCCCCATATGACACCACTGGTAGAAGCGGTGCTACTAATTAGTGGTGTTGCTAGCCAAGCGGTGTTACTAATTAGTGGTGTTACTTGGCACTTAATGCCAAGCGGTGTTACTAAATTGTGGTGTTACTTGGCAGCGTTTAGTGCCAAGCGGTGTTACAAGTGTTGAGCTAGGTTGTGTTGTCTAGCTTTTTTAATTATTCTGGAAACACATAATCTGAATATTTTGTGTTATGTGCAAATGTGTTATGTAAAAATAATTTATGCTATGTGTATTCAGTAGCATAGGCAGGGTCTTTTGATGCTTTATATAGCACTTTCAACCAAACTTAAGTGTATTCACGTTTATAGAATTAAAATACTTTGCAAAAAATTGATGCTGTTAAAGCTTAGGAACAAATGTTTAAAAAAAGTGTTTTTCCTAACCTGAATTTTTTTAGACATAACAAAGTTAAACTCTTCAACAGCTTCTAAATATATATCTGAAACAACAAAAATCCCACCTACACTACTGGTGTTATTGTTTGTCATCCTGTAATGTTGTTGTGATGTTTTGTGTTGATAGACAGCTTGGCTTACCTTCACGTTGGTGTCTATCGTTAAAAATGATTATTGGGTAGCTTCATTACTGAAACTTACTCCTAATCATTCACTAAAAGCCAAGAAATATTTTAAGAAAAAATGCCGAATTTTTTTGTGTCAATAAAAATTTTTATCTTGAGCAATGCTGATAAAACTGATTTTTTTAAAAAAAAGATTATTTCCAACCTTCTAACCAAATATTAGAGACTTTTCCAAAAGCACTCTCACAAAGTAAGTGTTTAATATTTCTTTAATATTACTAAATTTCGTTTCGTATTTTTTATTTTTCAAATGAATTAACATAAAACAAATAAATGTGCATTCAGTGTTATCAATAATGATTTTATTTCGTTTTTAGATAATGCTTTTATAATCAATTTAAAAGTCTTTCAAATCGTTAATCATTTTCTAAAGGCGAAGAAGAAGAATCATCAATCTTCATACCATTTAATAAAGCTATTTTAATAAAACGCAATACAAATTGTTGTAAATTAGTATTTCAATAATTTTCACGTTGTTACCTTATTTTGCAGTTTCCTATCACTTTGTATTGAATTAACTAAATCCAATATTACAGTTCCTTTTATCAAGTACTTCACATTTTCTGTTTTTGTTTTATGCAGAAAAACAGATCAAGTTAATTTATTTAACTTGCCTAGCTACTTATTTTACACGCCTAGCCACAGTGAGTGTGCATAAATCAACAGAGGATTTGGGTTTGGGCAGGTTGTCTTGAACTAAATGGTTTACCTTCTTCATGTTAAGCTCTAAATATAAATATACGGAAAAGGTGCATATGTGATTTTTTTTTTTTTTTTTTCTAGCATATAATCTATTGATCACTAAAAAATATTAGAGGGAGAAATAGAGATAAGGTTAATGTGGAATAGAGTTTGTCCTTTTAGGTGAAAAACTATTTTATAATCTATCTATCTTCTATATAATAATGCCGAACTTAAAAGTGTTAGTAGAAAGAGTCGCAACACTTTTTTTATAAGAAAACGTGTATACAAATATCTAACGTACGTAATTAAGTAATGATGAAACATACTGAAACATTTTTCAAGTTTTATAGTTTGACTTTGACTTAAAAATTGCATTGCGTCAACCTCTTCTTAATTTTTGATCTACAGCAATTCCGTTTAAAACAATTTTTATATATTTTTAAAATTTCGATATTTGATGTGTCAGCATGGCCGAATGGTTAGCGAGCTAAGCTTCTGAACGTAATAGTCGTGGTTCAAATTTACCACCAGCGATTTTTTTCTTAGAATCTTTAAATTACAAAATATTTGTAAAGTTAAACAAGTTAAATGTTATACACTTAAACCGTTTTTTCTTTTTAAATTTTATAAATTTTTTGGATTTCTAAAAACACCAATAAACGGGGCGAAAATTTGTTGCGTGCGTGTCATGATTTTGATACTGTTCTCACATAATTGGTCCTAATAAGCTACGGATAGTCTTAAAAAAAAAGTCCTAAAACCTAATAAGGAAAAAAATTTGATAAAACCGTCCCGCTACTCCACATGGTATTGCAGTGGAGGCAGAGGAAAAAAAGCAATTAAAAGGTTTTTCGCTATATTTAATTTTTTGCTATAAATATAGCCAGATTAAAAAAATTAAAAAAAATGTATGGAAAAAAGGCGCGGATTTGAAGCATTGCACAGCGACTCTGATGACTGCGCACTTAACTTGTGAGCTATCAAAGTTATGCATGTAGTTAGGTGCTTCAACATTTTTTTAAAAATGTAAAATGAAAACAAAATAAATACCATAAGTAAGAGCTAAATAATAACGTTTAAAAATTACCAAACCTTTTATTATATTATTATTAGTTTTTCAACTTTTAAACCACAAAATTTATAATTTATTTTTTTGCATGACTTTTGACGCTTTAAGTGACTAACGTTTTAAAGAATTGCATTACCGTTTCCGTCTAATACAAAGGTAACTATAAAAGACCGTTATTATTCAAAACTAAGCATATAATAACAATAAATATAGTAAATAGTAACTATTGAAAATGGCTAGGACGCGACCATAAACCATGGTCCATGGCTGCAGTAGCGTAGCGACAAAAAATTGGCCCCCCACCCCCGCAAAAATTTAATCCGGGCCCCTAAATTACTTCACCACCTTGCCTTTACCTTCCTTCTAGACAAATAAGTTATACATGAAAATAAAAAAACGGTAATCTAAAACACAAACTAATGATATACGCATGTTATTTATTGTACTGACACTTTTTTTTAAATTTTTTCTTTGTTGCCTTGAGCCCCTAATAACTCTGGGCCTCCCCGCGGCTGCGGGCCCTGCGGGCCCTTTGCTACGCTACTGCATGGCTGGTCTAAAAGTAGGAAGTAGTTTAGTTCAGAATTTAAAAAAAAAAAATAAATAAACGGGGTTTAATAAGCTATATACGTATGCGGAAAAAGTGCGTATGTTAAAGTTTTTTTTTGCTCTCAAAGCAAATTTTTTTAATGAATTTTTTTCCACCGTTTACTAAAAAATATTGAAGTAAATAAGGAACAAGTAAAGAAATGATTAGCGTGGAATAGATAAATATAGAAGTAGAAGAAAAGACCTGTATTTACCGATACGGACAGCTAGATTAAGAAAATAAGGGAAAAAGTTTGTGTAGAATAGACTTACAAAGACCCGTATTTTTACGGGTCAATTCAGCTAGTATATATATATATATATATACCCAAATACCCTAGCCGGCGCTAGGGTATTTGGCGTCCTAGGCAAAAAAAATTCAACCCCCCCTCCTCCGAAAAAAAATATTTTAATTTGAAAGAGCAAAAACATAAATATTAATTTTATTCAAAATGGCATAAACATTATAAAATAGTGGAGATATTTAAGTATTAAATATTTATTTTTGACATTTTAGGATTTCAGCCACTCAACTTTTATTTACAAGAATAATAATATTTGAGATTTTATGACATTCAAAGAATAAAAGTAACATTTAATAGATTTAATGAAGACTATTCCTAATATTTAATTGCACCAAAATAATAATAATTAACCTAGCTTATCTCAAGAAATAATAATAAGTAATAATCTAGAATTAAGAATAAAAACTGAAAACTTGGAATATAATATAGTTACAAAGAATAAAAAAACTTGTTTCTGATTTGATGTTTAAATTATTAGAGAATTTGAATTTCAGAAACTAGAAAGTTCATTTGTATTTTGAAAATATGTAATAATAAAAATAAAAGCATATTTAAATTTTTATTTTTCTGGTTTTTTTGTTGCAAATGTTTTTACAATTTCTTTCAAATTTAATATTGATGATTCTTCGTGTTTTATCGAAATTATTGATAATCCCACCAGTCGTTCTTGTAACATTGTCGACCTCAAATAATTTTTAATTATTTTTAACTTCGAAAAACTTCGCTCGCCGCTTGCAACGGACACTGGAAGTGTTAATAGTATTCTTAAAGAAATACATATATTTGGTAGGCAGTCAATTAAACGTTGTTCAACTATAAAAGTTAGTACTTCATGTGGTGGCATTTGTTGTGGGAGTCTTCCAGAAAGTACTTTGATTTCATTGCAAAGATCCGCTGCACTAATATCTTTTTGAGAACCATGAGTTAAAATTTCTTCTAGATTTCTACAATTTTTCAATAATTCTGCTGAAGATTTTGAACTTATAGAATAAATATCATGAAGGAAGCCAAACATACTATTATACTGTCGCATTTGTTCAAACCTTTCCGCAATAGACTGTATAGCAGTGTCTAAAATTTTAGAATAAAATTCAACTTTAAATTTTTCTTTTGGATCTTGCAACGCTTCATCTTGTGTTTCATAATCGAAGTGTTGTTTTTTTCTCCTTCTCCCGACATGTTTTTCTTCAAAATTTGTTACTGTTTCTAATTCTTTTGCAATTTCAGCAGCATCAACAATAATTATTTGAAAGCCTTCATCATTCCTCATTTTTACAAGTTTGTTTTTAGTAATATTTAATTGTGTAGCTACATTCAAATCAACTTTCTTATTTTGTAATATTTTATTAGAAATATTAACTTTAAAAAGAATGTCGTACCATGAAACAAGGGCAACCATGAGCTTGAATATGCAAATAGAATTTGCAAGCCCTTTAGCCTCATTTCGGGAAGAATTTCCTACTGATGTAGTTTGTAATCTTGGATCCTCAAATATTTGCATTAAAGCATCGTAAATTTTTCCGAGATTGTATCGTAATGGTTTTAAAGCATTAATGCGGCTTTCCCATCTTGTATCATTTAATGACTTGACAGTAAAATCTGGAAAATAGCTACGAAAAACTTGCCAACGAGAAGGTGATCCCAAAAAATAACTATAAATCTGTTGCACCACACCAAAAAAACTTATTGCATCTAAGCTACACTTGCATGCATCATTCACAACTAAGTTTAGTGAATGTGCGCTGCATGGAATAAAAAACGCCCGAGGATTTATATCCAAAATTTTTTTTTGTACCCCATTCTCCTTACCCTTCATGTTGCTTCCGTTATCGTATCCTTGTCCACGGAGATTTTCAATTGGTAAATTAAAATTTTTCAATTGTTCAATTAATGTTTTTGCCAAAAAACCACCTGTAGATTTCTCCACAGGTATGAATCCTAAGAAATGTTCTTTAATTTTAACTAAATCCCCATCATGCGATGCTGGTGATTCTAAATCAACAAAAAGAATTATTATTGTCATTTTTTCTCTATGTCTATTATCTGGGGTGCAGTCTAAAATTATAGAATAATATTTAGCAAATTTTACTCTAGTCAAGATATTATCTTTTATAGCATTTGCTAGTATTTGTATTAATTCGTTTTGAATTTCTTTTCCAAGATAATGAGCAGTTTTATTTTCTTGATTTTTAATTTTCCGAACATGTTCATTCATTAATGGGTCAAATAAGGCAAGATACTCAACAAATTTTAAAAAATTACCATTGGCGTTATTGTAAAGCTTTTCATTTGTTCCACGAAATGCCAAGTTTTGCGTAGCCAGTACTCTGACTAAGGCAATTAATCTTTCTAAAATTCGTTGCCAATATTGTTCTTTTTCATTAATTTTTTGTTCATTAATATGATCAATGGTTTTTTCTGTAGATAAACGTATGTCAAGTTCTTTCCACATTTGAAAATTTACGAGATATGAATTACTTTTTTCATGAGAAGAAAGAAGTGCTCCAATATTCTTCCAATCGTTTAAACCTGAACCTTCTAAAGCCGGCAAACTACTTTTGCTTTTACCAAATAATTTACAACATAAACAAAAAACTACATTTTTTGAAACTGAATATTTAAGCCAAGAACGAGAGACTTTTTCTCCATTTGGTAATGTCCAATTGTAATAGATTGATGAAAATTTTCTTTTTTGTTCATCTCGATCTCGTGGAAAGTTATATTTTTCAATTTGTTGCAGTCTATTTTTTATAAAAAATTGCCGAAAATTGTCACTAAAATGAGTAGGCCAATTTGCAGGGTCACTGTAGTTTGCAGATGATAATATCCTAATTTGAGTTTCAGTTTCAATTTATCTTGAAATATTAACAGCAGGAGTTGCTCCAGGTAGATAAATTTGGTTTTCATTGATATTTACAACTTCATTTTGTTGATTTGAAATATTAGCAATATTAACAGTTTTATCGTCAACTATCACTTTAGATTTTTTACTTACACCGCTATCGCTTTCAGTAGCAGAATTAGTACCTGTAGAATGTGATTCTGCACAAAAATATTTCAAAATAGCTTTTCTTTGACTTTCTTTATTTTTCTTTACTGATAGTCTCTTTTTCTCAGACATGGTTAAAAAACGTTAGAAATGTGTAATTATAAAATATTTACTTATTACTTGCTAGCGTACAATAGTAGAATTGAAGTAATACACTACCTTTTCAATCGATAAAAATATTGTCAGTTAAATACTTATTATAAATAAAATATAATAGTCAACACTTAACTCTTTCGCTACCGCCGTTTTCACAAAAATCTTTTCGCAGTGACCGCACGTTTTTTTGAAAAAAATTTGGATGAAATAACATAAAAAACTAATTAAAATTAGAATAGTATATCTTTTTAAAAGCGTAACAATTTGTTAGCTTTGTTCAATTAATATATAATTTGTTGCAAACTATATATTAATTGAAAGATAAACAAATGAACTTTTTAATTAAATAAGTTTTTAACACGCATCGTTGAACAGTAAGAAATGCAAGGTACTTTAACCATCGTTTTTATAAATAGTAACATAAAAAAATAAAAATAAAATAAATAAAACATAAAGTCCGAAATAAAACTTATTTAATGTATAAAAAGAACGTTTTTCTTGAAAAAAAATCTTTGTAATTACTTAGCTAAATACTCACACGCTTCTACAAGTTAAATTTTACAGTGTTAACGCAGCTTTATTTTACTAATTACGAACTAAATTTAAAGAAATTTTTTTTATCAAGGATTACTTGAGATTTTTTAACTTTGTCAAGTGATAACTAATTATAGTTACACATTATGACTCATACTTGTACTTGATTATGTAGAGAACTAATTAAACTTTAAGAAAAAACAAATTATGTGTCTAGATTTATGCACAAAACAGGATAAATTGTGAAGCATACTCGAAAGCCTCTAACAGCGGCTTGCAGTCATAATAAAAAAAAAATCAAAAGCCGCTATCAGCGGCTTGCGAAGGGAGTTAAATTGACATTTATTCAAGGAAAAAGAGTTAAATTGACATTTATTCAAGGAATCAGAGACAGACAAAAGAAGTATTTAGTACTCGTTAACCAAACGCAAGCGAATGAATGTGATATAACTGATTGAATATGCGGGCGATCGAATGAACATGAGGAACAGCGAACGGATAATATACAATTTTGTTTGTTGTGTTTATAATTTAAAAAGAAAATATTTACTTTATTTAAAAAACGCAACTCAAGTTGTTAATTATCTCTCATTTTATTAATATAAACACAGAGACAAGAAGCAGGAGTCACTATTTAATAACATTACAACACTACATGTTGCCTTTGCCTAAAGCCTGCGAGTGATGCGCTAATTTGCCTTGCAGTTTATGCTCAATTACTGGAAATGGAAAATTTCTCATCGTTATATATAATTTTTATAATTATTATAAAATTATAATTTTAGTTAGATTTTTTATATTTTATAGGCAGCTGCCTAGTCTGCCTAGTGCCTAGTGCCAGCTCTGTATATATATATATATTTCCATACAGTCATGTGACATTGAAATGGAAACACATTTAAAAAGCTATATTATTTTTATTCTAATTTTTTTTTGCTTAAATGTTTAATTTGATGGCCTTTGTTATCATAGATAAGTTTACAAAGTTTAGACCTGGATATCGATGCTCAATTTTTAAGTTCTTGAAGAATGTTCCTTCATATATCTTTTATGTTGTTAAATAAAAATTTAACATTTAAATTATCTTTTCTTTCAGTTCTCGCCACGTTATTTTGAACTCTACTAATGATGGTTAATAAAACTTTGATTGGTTCCTATTCTAATAATTTCTCAATAGTTTTATACAAACATCGAAGTTGTACTAACAATAAAATATGTCCTTTGATATTTTTTTTGTCTAAATGTTTTGTTTACATAAATTTTCTTTTCCACTAACTACTTTAAGTGTGATTAAATTATAAAAATATTATCAATAAATATTGTTTAATTAAAAACGAAGTTTTAAAAGTGTTTCCATTTTTTTTTACATTACATCCTAATATCTATATATCTATCTATCTATCTATCTATCTATCTATATATCTATCTATCTATCTATCTATCTATCTATCTATATATCTATATATATATATATATATATATATATATATATATATATATATATATATATATATATATATATATATATATATATATATATATATATATATATATAAATATATATATATATATATATATATATATATATATATATATATATATATATATATATATATATATATATATATATATATATATATATATATATATATATATATATATGTATATATATATAAATAGGGTTCCCATATCTCCGGATTTGCCCAGAGATCTCCGGATTTTTAGGCAAAAAATAGGCCTCCGGGAAATTTCAGAAAAAAACATAAAATCTCCTCATTTTAGAGATTTTTATTTAATTTTTATAAAAATTCCATATTTAATACTTAAATTTTGAGTATATACAGAACTGAAAGTGTAAAAACTATTGAATGTAAATTGTTTTTAGTCATTCTACTAATATATGGAAAATGGTCAAACAACACGAGTTCTTATTTCTTCATTACTCAATATTGAAAAATGCACGCTTATCCAAACTTGCAAAAACAAAAGTCGCGACCGTTAAATTACATTTTAATGTAATTACACGTGAAATTACATTTTAGTTAACGTTAAAATGTAATTTAACGGTCGCGACTTTTGTTTTTGCTAGTTTAAACCCTAAACCCTAACCCTGAAGCAACCAAAATACTTTATAACCTTAAAAGTTTGTAACCTTAAAAGTTTATAACCTTAAAAGGTTATATCCTTAAAAGGTTATAACCTTAAAAAATTATAACCCTAAGAGGTTATAAACTTAAAAGGTTTATAACCTTTCAGGGTTATAAACCTTTTAAGTTTAAAACCTCTTAAGGTTATAATCTCTTAAGGTTATAACCTCTTAAGGTTATAACCTCTTAAGGTTATAACCTCTTAAGGTTATAACCTCTTAAGGTTATAACCTCTTAAGGTTATAATCTCTTAAGGTTATAACCTCTTAAAGTTACAACCACTTAAGGTTATAACCTTTGAAGGTTATAAACTTTTAAGGTTACAACCTTTTAAGGCTGTTGATTGTTTTAATTTTTCTATATTTAAAATAGCTACAAGCTCTTAAAGTTCTCTATTTGCTCCAACAAAGTTAGTATCATTATCCAAAACAATTTACTTTGGAAAGCCACGTTAATTAACCATTCTATAAAACGCGTTTAAAAACGATTCTGTATCCAATCCAAATGCTATTTCCAAATGCACAGCTTGCGGTGTAAGAAAAGTAAACAAGCACAAATAATGTTTAGTTCTTCTCATACCTCTTCCTTGCAGTGTTATAAATGAACCACCAAAATCAACAGCTGTTCTTGAAAATGCGTGCAAAGGCATTTTCAATTTAATCTTTGGTGATGGTGTCATAATCTGATTCCCGGCTTTAGCTTTTTGCCTTTTGAAATAGCGGCATTGATTTTCCCCTATCACATATTTCTTCTCTTGCTTGTAATATTCAAAACCGAATAGATAGCATTTCCAAGGTCTAATTAGTTCCACATACATGTTTTTCGTCTTCGTGATACTTCTTCACTATAAGTTTCGTTATGCAGTTTTTTCTTTGGAGAATAATAGGAAATATGGCATCATAGGGCAAATATTCTGCATATTTTAAACGTCCTTCACATCGTAATACACCATCCTTATCTATTTTTGGTTTCAAACATAGTATTTTACTAGTAGTTGGTAACGATTTTTTGGCTAACAGCGCTTTGTAATCTTCTTCGAAATTCTCTTTTTAAGAAAATTAGTTCATTTTCTGCATCAATGATCTCTGACCTGGCATTAGTTCTCCCGTGAATCTGCTTGCTTTTGATGACGTACAGTTAATAATAAAACGACGTACCCATGCAAGCATTCTTTTAAGTTGAATCCAACTTGAAAATCTCTAACAAGGTGAATATGCTTTGGACTTTTTTACTTCTGCATCATTGTTGTCAGGTTTTGATAGTTTTCTTTGATTTTTTTGATCAGCCAGAAAATCTGGTCTTTTCTACCATCAAATTTGTTCTTTTAGTTCTGATACTGCAAGACCTCTTGTTGTGTCATCAACAGGGTTTTCCTTAGTTGGTACGTATCTCCACTGAATTTCTCTAATTCTATTAACCACAAAAGGTTTAAATTTTCTACTTTGATCATGTATCTACCATATCACATTCATGCTGTCTGTCCAGAATGTCACTTCTTTAATATCAATTTTATAAGTTGTTGCAATACTGAGACTTAATCTCAATCCTAAATCTGCACCAAGTAGTTGTAATGATGGGATGCTTAATGCGGATAAAGGCGCCACTCTGGATTTGGCTGCAATAAGATTAATAGAAACTTCGCCATTTTCATATTGATATTTTGCATAAGTTACAGCTCTATTTGCAATTTCGGAAGCATCTTGGAACCATTTAGATGCTAGTTGAAATTGTTTAGGATCCAACAATTCATCCCAACTAATCCCACTGGTTCACATCAGTTGTAAGAGCACTTTTGCTCTCATTGTGTAGGGTAATTAAAGTTCAAAAGGATCAAATAATATTGCTTTCGTTTTTAAGAAGTTTCTTTTCGTGAA